CATAGGGTGGTTTGAGGCTAGAGATGTGAAACATTTGAGGTTGATTTGGTGAAAGATGCTCAAGATAAGGTGAGAAGCATCTAAGCTAAGCTTCTAGCAGCCCAAAGTCTACAGAAAAAGTATGTAGATCGTAAGGTAAGGGACATGACATTTCAGATTGGTGAGCAACTTCTTCTAAAAGTGTCACCCATGAAAGGGGTGATGAGATTCGGCAAGAAAGGCAAGCTTAGTCCTCACTACATCGGGCCATTTGAGATTCTTGATTGTGTAGGGCCAGTGGCTTATAGGTTGACTTTACCGCCTAGCCTATCTGGGTCCATGCAGTGTTTCATGTGTCCATGTTGAAGAAGTATCATGGTGATGGAGATTACATCATTAAGTGGGACTCAGTTTTATTAGACAGGGACCTTCAGTATGAGGAAGAACCAATTGCAATTCTTGATCGCGATATCCGAAAGCTGAGGACCAAGAAGATAAAGTCCGTGAAAGTTCAATGGAAGAATCATCCGATTGAGGAAGCTACTTCGGAAATCGAGAAGGACATTTAAGACAAATATCCATAGTTATTCAATGATTCTGTTACTACTTTACTCTTACCTTAGCTAGTTTTTCCTAGTTTGTCACTCGGGGACGAGTGATGGGTAAATTGGTATCTATTGTAACAACTTGTTCCCGTCATTATGGAAAAGCCAATGGGGAAAAATTTTGGGCCAGAAAACTTTTGAGTAGTGACTTGGAAATTTCTAGCCTAGGCTAGAATTGGACGAAATCTGAGTCAGGTGAAGTCTAGGGAAATATTTTAATGAATGGAGGATTTAATTATGAATTTGATCACATGAATGGATAGCCAAGATGTTAAGGAGCCTGTACGTCTTTATGCAATCAAATTCGGGCGAGTAGAACTACCGAAACTGATCTTGGCATGAAATGGTAGTTTTAGAATGTCCAGGTTTGAAGGTGTGTTGTGAAATGGGAACTTGGAACTCAAATTCCGAGCTTCTGTCCACGTGCAAGCCGTCGAGGTGGGATTAATCCCGCTAGGGCGGGGCTGCTCTAGAGGGATGGGGTCCGCCATGGCGGCCCAATTGCGAATTAAGTCGGGGGAAAACCTCAATTTCATTATTTTTTACAAAACTCCGTTCTTGAGATCTAGGAGATGACCTAGAGCAGTTCTTGACAGTTTTCCACAATTTCTAGCACCAAAGGTAAAATAATTATTCCCCTAATCCATATTTTGATTATTAGAACTTAGAATCTTGGGTAATTATCATTGGGGGAGGGTTTTGGCCTGAAGTTAATGGTGGGAAAAGCCCTAATTGAACATTAGGATCTAGGTTTGGCCTTGGGTTGATAACTTTTGTTATAATCCAGGTAAATTAGGCCATTGGATATTGATCCTTGCATTATTTAACTGTATTAGACCAAGAACAAGCTGAAAAAATCCGGAAAGGGAAGGCTTAAGTGTCTTAGGAGTATTTAGGCTTGGTTTCGAGGTAGGTGATGGTTCAATTTCCTGTTTGGATTATATATGCCGATTAATTGCTTCATTGTATGCATGTTTGTATGTGAATAGTGAAATGTGAATCGAATCTAATGAAATTATTATGGGCAAACAATTACATGCCATGAAGTATTACTTGACCATGTGACTATATACTATTCATTATGGTGTGGTTGTGATTGTAGTTATTCTGATTGGATCGGGTATCACGTTTTGACACATACATTGGATCGGGTGTCACGTTTCAACACATATATTGACCGGGTGTCACGTTCCGACACATACATTGGATTGGGTGTCACGTTCCGACACACTAACAGTTTGGGTGTGGGTTCCATGAGAGAACCACTTGTGATTATAATGTTCATATCTACCTGTCATTGATATTGGGAAATTATATGTTGCTCCTGAAATGTTAATTGAACTATGCATTATGTCTATGTGTGTTTACTATGTTGTAATTGTTTGCGTGTATTTCGCTTACTGGAGTAGCCGCATGATCCTACCAGTACACTGTGGTTTGTGTACTGATATTGCACTTGCTTTTTCGTTCTTTGTTGAGTATACTACATTTGCTCGTTCTTTGTTGAGTACAAGGCATCTTCAGGCGGCTACTGATATACCTTAGCTAGAGGATCATTGTTCGAGACTGGATTCGACGGAGCTAGTTCTTTCAGGCTGCCATGGATCCTCTATTTGTTTAGTCCATTCTTTTCTGACTCAGATTATATAGTTTGGCTTATACGTATAATTAGTTTCTGGGTTGTACCCCTCTTTCTTAGACTTGTTGATTATCGAGTTTGATACAATGACTTTCACTTTCTAGAGGTTGAACTTTCACAATAGTTTGTTTAATTGTTTATTTAAAATCTTTGGAGTTTATGGGAACTCCGTTTTTATCCATCATTTAAACATGCTTTCGTATCTTTAAATGGTCTAGTTTCGTTAGAATGTTTAATAAGGGTGGATTAATGGTTCTCCCACCGGAGTTAGTGTGGGTGCCAATCATGGCGGTCGGGGTCGTGACAGTTAGTGAGTTGTCCAAATCTTCATTCTAGTGATGAAGGTTTGAATTTCAATACTTTATAACAATTATTTTTAGAATTACATTTTATTACAACGATTAAGATTTATTTGAAATAGATCATTTATGTCATGTTATATTAGTATATATTTCTATGATAATATTTTACTATAATAACAAAATAAATTCGGTATGATCTAAATATAAAGAGATTTGATTATGTAACAAAAGTAAAATGTGGGTCTTCGTTGACATGATATATTACTATGTCTATTTAAAAACATTACATAGTCCTTATAAAATTTAGTTTTCATTTAGGACCTACTTCTTTGACAAAAGTGTAACTAAATATATGCATAAGATGTATTTTCAATTTTAGCTAATAATGTCAAAGGAAAAAAGACAATTATTTTCCATAGCATGAAATGGAGCCCTATCAAACAGAGTTAATATAATAACATTAACATATATAGTGTAATTTGGGGGATGAAAAAGGTAAAGTACATACTGATCATATTCTTATTTTATGAAATCAAAGATTGTTTTCTAAAAACACTCGACTCAAGTAATGCATATCAAAACAAATTTCATATACAACATTTTACGCGAATTGTCTCCTCTTCACCTTCCAATACCACTACCTAAGCCTGGCCCCTCTATACTATCTCCACCTCATAGATCTTATGCAGTAATCTAAACTACCATTCCTTTTGCTAAAGTTTAAATTTTACTATACCTATGTGTCACTATCTATTATGACAGTGTAATGTTCTTCTATCTTTCTGATTGATCTTTAGCCTTCAATATCATTTGCAGAATGTGATGGTAGAGTCGTAGGGTCGAAGGCTAGTAACAGGAGCGGACCCACATAGAGTCCGTCGGGTGCTCGAGCACCCATTAACCTCGTTTCAGAATATATATATATATATATCTATGTTGAAATTAAGAGGTATTTGTATATAATTAACCTAGAGCACCCAATGACCAAATGATCTAACTAGTCCATTGACTCTTGGGTGGGTGTTTAAGAATCTTTTTGTGCTGATGAACCCGAGTTCGAATCTCACTTTTAACATGTTTTTTTTTATATTTTTTACTCGAGCACCGACAATCTTAAAATTCTAGATCCGCCACTGATTGTATTTGTGGTATATTACACCAGCATGTTGTTGTGTTCTTCACAGTTTCGGGACCCTTCAACGATCACACAAGTGTGATTGGTAGTGCTTTGTGATCGCATGGTATAAGTTTCTGAGCATCGCGATCGTGTAGGTCAAGTCAGGGTCGACTTAAGTTCTTCTTCGTGATCGCGCGACTAGTTTCATGACCTCTATGAGATGTAGAATGTATTTCTATCATTTTGCCCCTATACTAAATCAAAATCTAATTAAATAGTAAATTTAATTTAATAGTCATATTTTATTTATGTAAATGTAGAATTAAAAGTTCAACACTTTAATTTCTTAGTTATATCATTGTAAATTCCCTCGTTGTTATTAACTAATTCAAATTTTATTCACCTATAAGAAAAACGTTTTCTTTGTTACTCCAAAAAGTTTGAAGAAATTGAAGAGTTGCAATGAACTCAATACATATTATAGGCCAAATTTATTTAGATAGTGAAAAGTCTATATGGTCATACTCCAATATAAGCACATAAAGACGCAAGAAATATTCCATAAATTCTATGAATTATTTGATAATGTTATTGTTTTTTCCACTATTTTTAGTTAGCTCCTAGAAGACTCTTTATTTTTTTCATCTATATGTTACATTTTTTCTTCAACTAAGCTCACCGTTATATTTTGTTAATGCATATTGTCGATTTGCAAGATTTTTCGTAAACTTTTAGAAGTATGAAACTTTCAGTTAAAACGGAGAGAGAATTGTATTAACGAAAAAGATATTAAACCTAGAGTTCAAAATATGATTTTCCTAATGTTTTTGTGAATAATTTTTTTCAAAGTTTTTGTATCGATCATTTATTTAACGATAAAATTAAAATATATATAAGTAGCTTTATAATGAATGCAGCTCTCTAACAAAGTTGAGGATATATAAGACCTTTTTTCCCTTTAAAATAGAAAGAATAAAACAAGAAGATAAATAGGAGTACTTATAAAGTTTATCCCATTCATCATCACAAAGTGTATTTTGTTAGTTTTAGTACTAAAATAATGTACTGATTATTTACGTCTTTATCTCAAAATAATGTAATTATTGGGGCCTCTTTTGGTACCAGTGACTAATGGACGTGTAGTTTGGGCAAGCAACAAGTGAACAAAGTCTAGTCTTTGTTATTGTTTGCCTTGTTCTTTCGTTTGAAACTGTGTATAAATGATAGTATATCCTTTAACAAATTCTAGTAATGTACAAAACACACTGTTGCCCTTTCACCTACTCCAATTCCATATCCATGTTGCCCTTTTTTACATTCACAAACCAAGTAATTTTATATCTCAAATAACTCATAATTTCTTATAAGCAAACTGCTTTTCTTATTGATATTATTTTAAAGTGAAAAGGATATGATTGTCAAGAAACTTTAATTTGAAATTTTCATGGTGCAAGGACTTGGATGACCACTAAAGAAATTTTCAATTGTTTCTTTTCTTGCTAGGCAATTGAAGAAGCTCAACATCTAAAAAAGTTGATACAAGACTATAGTACTTCTTTCATCAAAGTAAGAGATAAGGTTTGGCGTTTCTAAATTATTAAAGTTCAAGTACAATTGTTTTTTATAATGTGTTTGGGTCCATCTAGTATTGATACTTAGCTTTAATTTTGTAATAATTTGTTTGTGTCCATCGAGTGTTTGTTTAGCATAAGTACCAACACTAGTTGATCCTATTGATGACAAAATTGATTTTCTTGCAAGATCGATTTATATCTATCTAGTGTTTACACTAGCTCAATTAATGACAAATAGCTCATGAGTCATGGTAAAGAATCCTTAGAATTGCAGAGTTTGATACATAGAAAAGAGTTCAATCTCACAAGTTACAGTTCAATGTAAGCCTCTTACATCGATTTTTAAGTAATGTATGTAGATATTCTGAAACATGTGGTTTAGTTGGTGGATTTAGTGTTGTATTAAGTCAAAACTAAACTAGTTAAAGTTAAGAAGTTGTTAAGTAGTTTAAATAAGTTAAAATGGATATTGTGGTTTAGTTGGTGGATTTAGTTGTTGGAATTAAGTCAAAACTAATGTAGTTAAAGTTCAAAAGTTGTTATGTTGTTTAAATAAGTTAAAATAAATATTGTGGTTTGAATTTAGTTGTTGGATTTAAGTCAAAACTAAACTAGTTAACGTTAAAAAGTTGTTAAGTTGTTTAAATAAGTTAGATTAAATAATATCGTTTAGTTAGTTGATTTAGTTGTTGGAATTAAGTCAAAACTAAACTAGTGTCCATCTAGTGTTGACACTTCACTTTAAATAAGTTAAAATAAATAATGTGGTTTAGTTAGTGAATGTAGTTGTTGGAATTAAGTCAAAACTAATGTAGTTAAAATTAAAAGTTGTTAAGTTGTTTAAATAAGTTAAAATAGATAATGTGGTTTAGTTGGTGGATTTAGTTATTGGAATTAAGTCAAAACTAAGCTAGTGAAAGTTATTAAGTTGTTTAAATAAGTTAAAATAAATAATGTGATTTAGTTAATTGGTGGATTTAGTTGTTTGAATTAAGTCAA